CAACTGCGAGGTGGAGGTGGAACTGTTCAATCGGCTGCAAGCGGAGGACGGCTACATGAAGATTAGCGAGGATTTTGAAAAAAAAAGTTTATCGATTTCCTCGAGGTGTCTAGTGTGATTCTGTTGTATGCCAAGGGGAAAGTTCAAAGGGGTTAAAGATCAGGTTTAGGTTGTTGAGATGTATTGTCACATTTGACTTAAATCGCTGATTTCTAGCTAACAATCATTAAATCAAGCAATGCAATAACACCACCGTAGATATGAGACAATCCTCCATCGTTTGTTCATGCCAATTTGAATAATTGAATTGTTATTTGTGAGATATCCACGATGGAAGTTAAAAGTAACAGTAACTTTATATTGAGGTATACCTGTTATTGTATAAAACAATTTTTAAAGAAAGCCTATCTAATATGTCGAAGACTGCACAGTAGGGTATCATAATATTGTTGAGCGAATCCTGATTATGAAGATCGCAAATCCGAGGAGGAAGATTTGTATGACGCTATGTATCACCCTGAGGGTGATCTAGTTATTGCTGTATGATCTCGGCGCTACTATTTATCACCACACTTTAACAACTCTTGCAGGGAATTAGACGAAGTACTGGCTGCAGGAGAGTTTCGAGTAAAGTCCTATAGGCTTGACTTCTAATCCGGGATACGATCGTCTAGTCCGATGGATTTAATCAATTCATCCTGAAGCGAAGATCAGCGACTGTTAACAAAGTGCGAAACCTTAGCAACTATTGGAAAATCGTCTGTAAAAAACAGTGATGTCGTTTTATAATATGTTCTGTGTCATTCTTGTCAGTTTGTGCCTTAGCGTGCCGAGCAGTGTACCGTGGTGTGTTTCGGCACAGTGTGCAGAGTTGATTACCCCTTGCATCGGACAGATGAGATAATCCCCCATTTATTGGTAATATTAAATTGATTTAATTGTTATTAGGGAGATATTGACGCTGTGACAGCTACGTTATATCAAGGTATACCCAACCGGTGGAAACTAACGATTTTAAATTGGCTCACTACTTGACTAGCCTATTGGTCCCAAGCAAATCGATTAACGTACATCATTCTAGTCGAAATTCTAGTACTACACTATGTTTGTTTTGATTCGCTATGAAAGTTTAACAGCTAAAATGAGGGGTTCGTGGATTTTCCTATGTTTCAAGGGGTGCATCGATTAGCTTGGGACCGAAGAGAGTACCATAGCTGAGCCAAAAAGTTGAGCACGTTTCTTCGGTACCTTCTAGTCTTAGAGTTACCTCTATGGTATACCTGTTCTAGAAATACTCAGAGGGAGAGATGCCCTAATAAAAAATAACCATATATGAACGATAACCCAAATAATAGAACCACCGACAAACCGACATGACACTTAATTCTGACTTATGCCCGAAAATCGTAAACGGTCGATTTAAATGTGCAGTGATCCGAACTGTCAAAACCCTTGGACGGGACTTGACAATCGGGTAGCAATTTCGAGCTAATTTCCTGTAAAATCCGAGCCTGTTTCTGATTTGTTCGATTTGACAGTAGCAATCGTGGAATAAAAAGGACAGAGGGATCGCATCAGTCTGGCTGGCAGTGATGCCGGAATCAATGTTGACGTCAATGGCGTTGTTAATTGTTTATATTTGCGAAAGGAAAGTTGAAAAATTGAGTGCACTGCGTGTTTTAAGCGATGGATATTGTCGTTTGTTTATGGTTGTTTTTATTGTGTTGAGCAAAAATGATGTACAAGTTGCTAAACTGCGATAGAAACACCAACAAACCGACATGAATGACCATACAAAGTACCATCAAATTTCTGATCAAAGCACAAAACTGACATCTGCCGCCGTGTTTGCGAAAAATGTGTATCCTAGTCACGAACACGCATACAAAATGTATGAGTTGGTTCGTGTCTAATCTATTCCAGGCGAATTATTTTTTATCTAGATAACAAATTTCTATGTTTTCGACACATGGAATCGCTGCATATTTGAATCCACCGTTATAGATTTTCGATCAAGAGTTAAGGTTAAGTTTTATGTCGGTTTGTCGGTGATAGCAACTCCGAATAAAATCCAAATTAAAATTTAAAAAGTAGAAGGGTCTGTGCCTAGGGGCACGAACGGAAGCTTGACGTAGGACCGCTAGTGGACGGAACAAATGTGAACATTTAGTTCTTTTAATTGATCAATAATCAATTATCTTAACTCTTTCCGTTTTTTATTTGTAAGCGTATCAAATTTGTAGTATGTATTTCAAAGAGAAAGTTGATGAAGAGAATCCAAGGGACTGTCAACTTGAGTATTTTCGATTCATCTACCCGACTTTAAAAGGTGTATTTTGAATTTCTTGTTATTTGTGATTTTTTAAGTTTTGTGCATTTTGGTATTAAAGTGTATTTAATTCACCCCTCACAGGATTTCCTTCCGAATTATATGAATGGGGCGGGGCGGAAGTATCGTTTGTGCAGAATATGTAAAAAAAGAGGGACTTCGAGAGATTGAACTCGTGAGAGCTAATTTTTTCACAAGTTTGATTTAATTGGCTTTCTGGGGACTGAATATGCGAAAAGCGAATTATTCCCACTTCCCTCCAATTCTGTATGGATTTTTAACACTTCCTACCAGCGTGTTCTGGAAAATGGTCGGACGATGATTAATCTCACCAATACATTCGGGCCTACAATTGCACACCTTCTATATTGACCAGGTTGAGCCTTGATAGCTAGCTGTTTGCGGGAACTGATGACCTTGACAAATGTCCAAATAATACTCTTAACAAATTTATGGTGGTCCTGAAAAGGACCGTTTTGTAGTGATGGTTAGTAATGCTGAGCTGGGTGTTCAATACGGATGAGGCTGTCGAGCTGTATGTCGTTTGGAGCGAGGGTGACACGCTTGGCATAGATGACCGACCCGCAGCGACTCACGAAGAGCTACTGATTTCGATCCATAGCATAGCGGTGCAGCTTCTTCCTCCTTTGATGGTTGCTTATGTGGGCTCTGCAGCTCGCTCGTTGTTGTGACTGGAGAACAATTTTCAACATCACACGCCGAAAGCTCTGCTATTGCTGCTACTAATTTCAACGACCGAACACCACCACTCAGTGGTGTGGTCGTTGGGAGCGTGTGGTTCTGAGTATGGCGATGAGCGTGCACAATATTACGCAATTCCATCCTCCCTATTCGCACGCGCCCGAGGATCGGAGGCGAATGCCATTTCGACTTGTTTCGTCTACTTACTACTCTCTGACGACTGTGCTGGGGAAGCAGCATATGCATGTAGGTAATTGGTGGATTTGTTAAGTAATTCGACGCTTTTAGACAATGCTGGACATTTACCAGTTTTTCAATAGTTCCTTGTTAAAATTCAACATTTGAAAGCATTGCTATCGATGCGTAGCCATATTTCTGATCGATTGGTGATAAAATGATTGAAATTGAACCTGGGGCAGCTCAGTTATTAACGTTCGAAATCTTTCTTAATTTGTTACATGTTCCATTTTCGGTTTTTACAAAGTGTACCCCCATATAGAAATCAAAGATGTAGTCCTACGTCAAAAAATTCTACATTCCTGGCATCATTGGTCAACTCCGTCAAAAACCACGCTCAACTCTCCAAAGGGCATTCTTCGAAAACATTAAGAAGAGTGAGAAGCTCGATTGTCAACTCCCGCCCCGGTCAAAACCATAGGATTTTTTTAACTAGATAAAAATAATTTGTCCAGAATAAATCAGACAAGGACCAATTCCTAACTTTATCATGCGGGTTCATGGCTTAGCTAAATGTTTCCCGCGAACACGGAGCAAGATGTCAGTAGTGTGATTTGGCTAGAAATTTTGTTTTTTTGTGCTGTGGTCATTCATGTCGGTTTGTTGGTGATAGGACTATACCAAAGTGGTTTGGATGATACCCGGAACACGTCGTTAAGCAAAATAACCATAACAATTGTATTAGGATGGACGGAGATAATGTTTTGAGCCATATGTCAAAATCTGAGCCAATCGAACATTCCCATTAGAATTTTCCGAGGATTTCTTATCCTTACTAGATTAAATTTGAGAGTAATTGAACAGAAATTCAATCACCTTTATGTTTCGTGTGCTTCTCAAATTCAACTAGGTTTTTGGAATCAAAAACAATATTGTAACTCTATTAATCAATTGATCTTAGTTGGTTAATTAATGGCACCAAGAAATGTGCAAAATATTGCGATGCAATCAATTATTATTTTGCACGCAAATCGAATCAAAAATAAAAGTCATTTGAAATGCTAGCTTCTAGCAAGGGTTGCAAGATAATTTATCCATGCTGTCGAAATTTATTTTATTGTCTCCGCCTCGGTCTCCGCCCATCTCTCCCTCTGAGTATTTCTAACCTGCACGGAAAAAAAGTTTTCATGTAGTTTCCATTGGGAATGGACATAAATTTTTCCATTAACAAAACCAATGATATCTATCTGAATTTAACATAACATTCATGTGATCACAATGATAAATCACTTAAATTTCATTTGACACATAAGATTCATGTAATTTTGGGGTGCAATTCCCAAGTTATGTGAAATTCTATTGAATATTTTCTATTGGATATGTGAAAGAAGATATCCGGAAATTACGGACGACAAGAAAAATATCGCGTCAAAAAGGAAGTGAGTGTAATGGAAAACTTCTGAAAAAGTCATTCATTAGGTAGACCAACTATTAATTATGCACACCGCAGTGATAACTACCTGTTTAATGGCAAAGCTTTATTATTACCTACATATACTACCCATAAACGCATAACAGACCCATTGTCATGCTTTTATGGGAAGTAACATGGATCTCTAGTAGGTGCATAGATAGATATTCCGACTCTTTCAACCGTCCCTGTATCGGGTAAACGCAAAAAAAAATGAAACACGACCCGCGCCGAGCAACTTACTCAAACAGATAACCACATCCTACCATATCTCTATACAGCCACTGCATGTATGTTGTGTTGTGTTTTCTCCATTTTCAGATCTCATCGAGCAGCGGTACGACTAACAACAGCAAGCCCGAAGATACCTCCAACACATCTAGCTCACCCCTGACCGACAAGTTTGGCCGATTTCACAGTTATCTGCGAATATCGCTCACGGAAAGGTGCAATCTACGCTGCAAGTACTGTATGCCCGCAGAAGGGGTACAGCTAACGCACAAGGACAACCTACTCTCAAAGGACGAGGTGCTCCGACTGGCCAGTCTCTTCGTCGAAGAAGGCGTACGGAAAATCCGACTGACCGGTGGTGAACCCACGGTGCGAAAAGATCTAACCGAAATCGTCGAACGATTGAAGCGCATTCCTCTGTTGGAAAGTGTTGGCATCACAACGAACGGCCTCATGTTGACCCGGCAGCTAGTTGGCCTCCAGCGGGCCGGCCTCGATGCGTTGAACATCAGTTTGGACACTCTGAAGGCGGCCAAGTACGAACAGATCTCCCGCCGTAAGGGATGGGACCGAGTCATCGCTGGAATCGATCTCGCCATCCAGCTGGGCTACAAGCCGAAAGTGAATTGCGTTTTAATGAAAGGTACGTATTATCATCACCCAAACTCCCACCCACCTCGAAAAAAAAGCCGAAAGGACAAACATATGATGACCTCTAGTGTTTTTGTGTCGTTGTTTTTGCTGTGTGTTTGTGCGTGAGTGCGTTAGGATTCAACGATGACGAAATGTGTGACTTTGTCGCGATGACCGAAGAACGTCACGTAGACGTGCGATTCATAGAGTACATGCCATTTACCGGAAATCGATGGGACACCAGTCAGATGGTTCCGTTTCGCGAGGCTTTGGCCACCATTCGGACTCGCTATCCCCAGTTCGAAGCGCTGGAGAATGGACCCAATGATACATCGAAGGCGTATGGCGTTCCCGGCTTCCGTGGCCAAATTGGTTTTATCACTTCCATGACGGAGCACTTCTGCGGTACCTGTAACAGGTTGCGCATCACAGCCGATGGTAATTTGAAAGTGTGCCTCTTTGGCAATACGGAAGTCTCCCTGAGGGATGCCCTACGAGCCGGATGCTCCGAGGACGATTTGCGTTGTTTGATTTCGGCTGCGGTGAAACGAAAGAAGAAACAGCATGCAGGTTAGTGTTGAATGTGTTTGTGCTCAAGTGCGTGGGTGATTTTCCAGTGGTGCATTTTGTTTTGCTCGTCCGTAGGTATGCTGAACCTCTCGCAGATGAAGAATCGGCCCATGATACTGATAGGGGGATAGAGTGAACGGCCGGGGGTAACACGATCCTAGAGTAGAGCAAAGAAGACACGAACAAGGTCGGTAGAGCACCGGTAAGCAAAGACAACGTTGATGCATTAGTTTTTAATCGACTTGGATCGGGTTGTGGTTGTCTTGTATTGCTGTAAATTAAATGCCTCTAGTTACGGATATATGTGCAATGTGTTCTGTGAATATCGGAGGGAAGTAAGTGTCGGTTTCGATAGTCGGTTAATGGCATGTACATGTGAATCGCTTACATCGTCTCATATGAAAACAAATCACACACACACACGTGACGAACTCATTTGCATTCAATAATAGGAAGACCGAGAAAAGGTGACCGTTTTAATGAGTTATTAATTCAAGTACCTTTCTGTGACGTCAAGTAGCGAAATTAACATAACATTCTACGGCATTGGTGCACTTGTTGGATTTGTGCTAGAATCCAATCCCACCTAGGTATCTACTAACGTTACAAACGTAACACTTTAATAAGCTTGGGACATCTGCGTTTTTTTGTGAAGAAAATAGCAAATATATTAACTATACCCCCACACCAATCTCGTTGTTTCGTTTCTAGCTTCATCATCATCATTCATCTCATCGGCAACCCGCCGCTCCCATCATCCGCTGGGAGTGCGCCACTTCTCCTCTCTGAGCCATGTGGACGAACGTACCGGCAAGGCAACGATGGTCGACGTGGACGACAAGGAATCGACCAAGCGGGAAGCCAAGGCGCAAGCCACCATCTACGTCGGTCCGCTGATCTCCTCCCTGATCGAAAGCAACGAACTGAAGAAGGGTGACGTTCTCTCGATTGCCCAGATGGCGGGAATCGTGGCGGCCAAAAAGACCTCCGAGCTGGTTCCCCTGTGTCACAATATTCCACTATCCTCCATCAAAGTGGAAGCGAGTCTGAATGCTTGCACGCACGAGGTGAACATTCTGACCAAGGTAAAATGCGACGGAAAGACCGGAGTCGAGATGGAAGCCCTTACCGCGGCCTCGATCGCCGCACTGACGGTGTACGATATGTGCAAATCTGTTTCCCACGAAATTTTAATCAAGAACATCATGCTGGTGGAGAAGACAGGCGGCAAGAGCGACTACTACAAGCTGGCCAATAAGCCCAAGGTGGAGATTAAGCACGACGAACTTCCCATCGTCGTCAAGCGATACAAGACTGACCCTATCACGAGCCAAGAGGACTTTGTTCCGACCCATATCTGAGAATACTTTCTTTTTGACCGATTTCAGACTATGTGCCTTTTAATTCAAATGATACTTCTCATTTATTTCGGTTTAGTTTCTGTTTGAATGAATTTACTTATATAATCATACGATCTTAGCACAGATATAAAATCCAGATAGTTACTAAGTTCAGTCGTAGGATTGCCCCCAGTCGAGCGCCATCTTGCTACATCCTCGTGAAATTGCTTGCAAACCTACCACCAGTTCACCGTAGCTCTCTGAAGCCAGCCCCTTATGTTTGGATCCATCGGCCAAAATCTTCGGATCGCGCATCTCCGGATTGACTCCCGTAAGCCAGCTCATGGCCGCCGACCAGATGCTGCTAAACTTCGGTACATAAAGCGGCGCCCGTACGATGCGTTTCATCCCGCTCAATGGACAGTGAATCCTTGCGTAGCCTCGGTTCGTCTCAACATTCCACAAGTTGTTCCCATACATGCTGAACACAATCTGCGGCCAGCCGTGCGGGTTGGTCGATTTCATCGTAAATTCCAGCGGCATATTGAACACCACCGTCCTATAGTCGCCCTCCGGTTTTGCACTCTGCGTTATACCGGAACGCATACCGGACACCAGCTCCCAGTCGGAACCCGCCACGACATCGTACCGACAGAACAAACTGCCACTGTCCGGACCCATTGGAAAATAGGCCGATTCCAGTTGGCCCGTCACGGCCAAATGGAAGTAACTTTCACTGTCTTCGCCGCCGACGCCACCGGAAGGTTCTTTCATGTTGTCCTCGAGTACCGTAATAAATTCCAGACACAGCAATCGTTTGAGATATCCGTCGCCGTTGGCAACCATCGTTGGATATTGCAGCGAGTGTGCGCATTGCATGCAAGCTGCAACTCTTACAACTAAGCATGTATTTTCGATTATAAGAGGAGATTTGCGAACCGTTGATTCATTTTCACTGTTCATTTAATATTTCAATCAGTTAGCCAGGTAAATAATAAAAAATACACAAACTTTCAGTTAAGGGGTTTTCATAATATTCGTCGTATAAATAGAGCAGTTCGTTTCTCTTCCAGCATTATATAAACTCATGTAACCCATATAGCCATAAGAGACTTAGTTATGTAAATATTTTAATATATAAAAAATCTGAGAATTTACTTTTAACTATTTTTCCGAAAGGCCTAACTGGAGCTACAGTTGATACATATTTTGATGAATAACGCCATGTGTTAGTTTAAGCACCACTTCCGCTAATGCTTTTTTAAGGTACGTCATTTTACGAGACATTTCGGATTCAACTCATGAATGAACTTTGACAGAAGGTGGTTACCTAACGCCCAGCCCAGTGGCAGGCGCGTAGGAAACATGTTATACCATGTTATATCAAATTTGTAGTATGTATTTCAAAGAGAAAGTCGATGAAGAAAATCCAAGGGACTGTCAACTTGAGTATTTTCGATTCATCTACCCGACTTTAAAAGGTGTATTTTGAATTTCTTGTTATTTATGAATTTTTAAGTTTTGTGCATTTTGGTATTAAAGTGTATTTAATTCACCCTTCACAGGATTTCCTTCCGAATTATATGAATGGGGCGGGGCGGAAGTATCGTTTGTGCAGAATATGTAAAAAAGGAGGGACTTCGAGAGATTGAACTCGTGAGAGCTAATTTTTCACAAATTTGATTTAATTGGCTTTCTGGGGACTGAATATACACCCAAAGCGAATTATTCCCACTTCCCTCCAATTCTGTATGGATTTTTAACACTTCCTACCAGCGTGTTCTGGAAAATGGTCGGACGATGATTAATCTCACCAATACATTCGGGCCTACAATTCCACACCTTCTATAGAGACCAGGTTGAGCCTTGATAGCTAGCTGCTTGCGGGAACTGATGACCTTTACAAATGTCCAAATAATACTCTTAACAAATTTATGGTGGTCCTGAAAAGGACCGTTTTGTAGTGATGGTTGAGTAATGCTGAGCTGGGTGTTCAACACGGATGAGGCTGTCGAGCTGTATGTCGTTTGGAGCGAGGGTGACACGCTTGGCATAGATGACCGACCCGCAGCGACTCACGAAGAGCTACTGATTTCGATCCATAGCATAGCGGTGCAGCTTCTTCCTCCTTTGATGGTTGCTTATGTGGGCTCTGCAGCTCGCTCGTTGTTCCCAACAAACAATTCACAGTCACAAATAAGCATACACATTGAATAAATGCTGTATAACAGTGTACAATGCTGAATAAAACAAGATGTCGAATTATGTGCTGAAAAAAGCTCATTGAGATCGATAGATGCGCCTTTATTCCGCCGTTTGCTCTGATATGATTAATTAACTTATTAAAAGCTTTATAAACGTTGACTGTCTTCCTTATTCAGAACCAGAAGGTTGATCTAATAACAAACTGAATAAGTGTAATTTGCACATACATTGTCGCTTTAATTCGACTGTTTTCAATTGATTGAATAAAATGCTTTATCAAACGTCTTATAAATGTTTTCTAGCTCCATTATTAGATTTCTTTGCATTGTTTTACAATATTGCTGTATAAAGGTGAATACACTCAGCAAAATAGCTCTTATACCACTATGCGTCCATGTTTTAGTTGAATGCTTTGTAAATGCTTTATAAACGACGTATTAGATTCATTATTCCACATCACTGCCCAAAAACAATTCAGAGTCACAAATAAGCATATAGATTGAATAAATGCTTTATAACAGTGTGCAATGCTGAATAAAACGGGTTGTCAAATTATGTGCTCAGAAAACCTCATTGAGATCGATGATGCGCCTTTATTTCGCTGATTGCTCTGATTTGATTGATATACTTATTAAAATCTATACAAACGATGACTGTCTTCCTGATTCAACACCAGAAGTTTGATCTAATAACATACTGAATAAGTGTAATTTGCACATACATTGATGCTTTAATCCGACTGTTTCAATTGATTTAATAACATGCTTTATTATACGTCTAATAATTGTTTTCTAGCTCCATTACTAGATTCCATTGCATTGCTTAACAATATTGCTGAATAAAGGTGAATACAGTCAGCATAATAGCTCTTATTCCACTATGCGTCCATGTTTTAATTGCATGCTTTATAAATGCTTTACAAACGGCGTATTTATTCATTATTCCACAACAGTGATTCAGGCTAACAACAAAACGAAATTGGTAGCATAGTGGTTACCGTTTCCGCTTTCCAAGTAGAAGGTCGCGAGTTCAATCCCAGCCTCAACCCTTTTTTTTTATTTATGTTCTACTCCTAATTAATTTAAATCGTAATCATAAATCGTATTACGGTATTACCAACAATCAATACGAAACTAACGATTTTAAATTGGCTCACCACTTTAGTAGCCTATTGGTCCCAAGCAAACGATTAACGTACCCTATTCTAGTTGAAATTCTATTACTACACTATGTTTGTTTTGATTCGCTATGAAAGTTTGACAGATAACATCAGGGGTGTGTGGATTCATGCAGAACAAGCAGGGGTGAGTGAAATAGCTTGGGACTGCTTGGGACCGTTGTTCTGGTACTGAGTGAGCCAAAAATAATAATGATTTTCTTCGGGACCCAGTGGTCTTAGAGTTACCTCTATGGTATTACTCACGACAACCAATTCATAGATCTATTGAAAATAATAGCATCCTTTCCATCGAAATTAGATAGATGGAGAGGTAACGTTGGTCTAATGTTAAACAACTATTAATGAATTAATCATTCTCACATCTCCTTGAATTAGCTAGAGCTACGGCTGGAAGTGCTGATAGGTTTTCAGATTCAAGCTTTTATTGCTTATTTAGCTGCTCATATGATGTATTCTAGGATAGCTCAGATGGCAAGGCAAGCGGCTGGTGATCGGAAGGTCATGGTTCGAATCCCATTTAACGACATGTGTGTATGTATGTATGTATGTAATAAATTCGACAGAAATAATGACACAGCAAAATCACTAACGGAAAACACCCTGCTCGTGCCGTTCTTATTTTCGGATTAATTATCCCGTAGTTGAATAATCGTTTAATAAATGTATAATGATGTAATAATTAAACATTATTTCACATGAGAATCAAGCGTCTATACACACCTTTATACCATCACTGTTTAAGGAAGTACAGATGCTCTAATAAACGCTGAATAATCAAAAATTTGATCGAATAAGCTCTGTTACAACTTTTGTAAGTCGAATAAAAGCTTCTCGACATACCTTATTCAACACCAAATATTTCGATGTTGTGGTTGAATAAATTCTCCAGATTTGTGTGAACAAAGCCTGAACAGAAGTTATTATTAAAAATAGTACAAGTATTATTAAGCATGAAGTGGAATAAAATCGTCAAGAAGTCGTTTCTTCAATAGGCAATTGTTTGTTGGGTTGTTATTGGAGAACAATTTTCAACATCACACGCCGAAAGCTCTGCTACTGCTGCTACTAATTTCAACGACCGAACACCACCACTCAGTGGTGTGGTCGTTGGGAGCGTGTGGTTCTGAGTATGGCGATGAGTGTGCAAAATATTACGCAATTCCATCCTCCCTATTCGCACGCGCCCGAGGATCGGAGGCGAATGCCATTTCGACTTGTTTCGTCTACTTACTACTCTCTGACGACTGTGCTGAGGAAGCAGCATATGCATGTAGGTAATTGGTGGATTTGTTAAGTAATTCGACGCTTTTGGACAATGCTGGACATTTACCAGTTTTTCAATAGTTCCTTGTTAAAAAATCAACATTCGAAAGCATTGCTATCGATGCGTAGCCATTTTCTGATCGATTGGTGATAAAATGATTGAAATTGGACCAGGGGCAGCTCAGTTAATAACGTTCGAAATCTTTCTTAATTTGTTAGGGGAAATGACGGCTTCGGCATGCCAGACTATTTTCGGCAACCCAAATTGAAACACTATTTTCACTGGATTTTCTTACGAAAACACTTCGCTGAATGCATGCAAACGATTCTTTATGCTTTCAGCTTCAATTTGACTATATTTTACCACTGAGAAAAAGCAATCTAGCAAGGTTTTCTTGAAATGAAACACACGCACTACAAATTGTAGCTGATTTCGAGTTGCCGATAATAGAACAGCAGATTTACATGCAGTTTAAATGGAACGGTTGCCGAAGAAAAACTGGTTGCCGACAATACTCGCTCTCACTAGAGAAGATTGGAGCTTTGTAAAAGCGTTTCAAAACAGTTTTTGACAATTCTTTCGACTGAAATTGTTAGAGCAGCTGGCAGCAAAAGATTGTAAACAAACCAATACTGCATATGTGTGTGTTTCTTAGAGAAAAAGGCTATAGGAAGAAGGTTGCTGCTTAGGTTGCCGAGAATACGTAAATTCCCCTACATGTTCCATTTTCGGTTTTTACATATAGAAATCAAAGACGTAGTCCTACGTCAAAAAACTGGAAATGAGAAATCGGCGTGAAAAGATTTTACAAGTTTTCTCATTTTACACTTATTTTGGAGGGATAATTTTGAAAATAAACGTGCTAGAATGTATCTATGGTTAGTAAAAAATAATGGATACAATATCGTGAAGTTTATATTTTATAACCAAAATCTGAGTGGGACTGACTTGCGAATACATTTAAAGTCAATGAAAAAAATAACCGCAAGTCAGTCACAACACCATGACGATGCTGTATTAGTTTAGCATAGTATTGGAAAATACAAAGATATCATGGTCCCATAGAACGGTATTTAATGTTTTTGGAATCGTTCCGCTGGTTCCGGAGGGTTGGCCGGAACATATTCTGTCTATTTTCAAATACGTGCCAAACCCACCTTGCTATAAATCAATTTACATGAGAATTCTAAAATAAGATCCATAAAAGCCATGGTGAGTAACCAGTACCATGTTGGCCACACCCGGACATCTCCGCGGAAGTGGTAAAACCCTTTTAAATCAAAATCCATCATGCGCCACATGTGATAAGGAATTCGAAGACAGAATCATTGGCAGTCATATTGAGGGTCGTAAGAACTATATTGGCCACAGCCGGACAAGTTACTGATACCCTAGGGGACA